TCCCCAATCATAGAAGCCATTCCCCTTTGCTTATATCAACTATGATGACCCAAATCAACTATGACCACCATTTCCACCCACTTCCCCAATCATAGAAGCCATACCATTGTCTCCATCAATGAAAATCAACTATGATCGCCATTTCCACCCACTTCCCCAATCATAGAAGCCATACCATTGTCTCCATCAATTAAAATCAACTATGACCCCCATTTCCACCTACTTCCCCATTCATAGAAGCCATATCATTGTCTCCATCAATCAATCAATCCATGAATTCAGAACAGGTGAATAAACCTCCTCCACTTATAGGTACTTTTCCATTAGCTATTTCACATTTCAATTTAAATCTATTTTTGTATAGATTGGTCAGGATTAAAGTGGTAGTAAACCACCACAAAAATACAAAAAAAATTGGGCTCCCCTGTAAGTTTAAGTCATAGTATGCAACTCATACAAGCACATTATGACAGACACAGAGCCCTCCTGCGCTGCACTGTCACTGCTCCCTGGTGCTTCCATCTTCATCCGGTCTTCCTTCGAGATTCGCGGGCTCCTGCTGTTTGTGTGTCATGCATGCGGGAGTCCTGGCCACAGCACGGCGATCTGCATTTCACAACATACTGTATGCCTTAAATGCAGAGCGTCAATGTGCATGCGCGGGTGACGTCAGCTATTGCTGATGTGAATATCTCCTAAACCAGTACACATTCAGAAGATATTCATTGTGCCTACAGGTAAGCCTGATTGTATGATTACCTGTAGGTACAACTTAAAAAATAGACTTTACTACCACTTTAAGTAAAAAGTATTAGCTCTTTGCATGGCAGCAAATTCTGACCTAGTGTACGGCTAGGATTTGATGCAGCATAACAACACTGTAGACCTACTAGGTGAAACCAAGTAAAATCACATGGCCAGTATTCTACCCTCGGTTATTCTTGCTGACCTAGAACAATCATGTATTCTAAAGGCAGACGCTGCTGATCTACGTACATGTTCTGTGTCAGTCATGCAGAAACGACTGAAGTCAGAGGATCAGCATGACAGCCAAACTATTTGTATTTTCTTTAGAAGAGGTCAGCAGTGGTAACTGACTTCTATCAAGTACAGATTTTATTTCCCAATAACTTTCAGAGCCATATTATTAAAACTAAATTATTTAAACCCAAGAGCAAACATTTGATATATTACAGCTTGCTATTCCTTCGATATGGTGGCTGTATTAATTTTAATTTTTTTTTCATTTCTTTTTTTTTGTCTTTTTCACATGTTAATCCTACCAGTGATGCCTGTCCTGTTCTAGAGTGATGGTTCTGATTCGCTGTACTGCATCTATAGTGAAACAGCGTTGTACCGTAGTTCTAACAAACTTTTTGTCCTTAGATGACATCTCCCCCTCTTCTCATCTCTATAACATTGGGGGAAGGTTTTCTGTAGCTCACAGAAGTCAGCTGAGTAGGACTGATAAGACGGCAGAGTGCACAGGACAAAAGCCAGTAGTGAATTTCTGGCATGATCAGCATTTTTATATACTTAATAAATAGACATAACAATCATTTTCAACTGTATATTTAAGCGACCAAAAGGGAGTAAGGCAGGCCATAGAGGATATGATTTTTCTTTCCTGCAACTACAGGTTACAGGAAAGAAAATCGTTCAATTCTTCCATCAACGCAGTCAGTGTTGATGGGGGAATCCCTCCCGCAGAGCTATGGGGGGTGTATGGGTGCGGGAAGCCATCCCTTCCGGTAGAGCACAGATCATTTCTAGCAGCTGGTAATAATCACATGTAAAATTCCAACATGCTGGTTGTACCCAAGTCAATCGATGGATCGACTTGGGTGCAATCCACTTGCCCATAGGTGGTTCGAATCCCTGTTGAACCAGCCGAGATTGGAATGGTCTATGGCCAGCTTTATAGACGTTCATTACGATTTCCATGCACTTTACTGTATAAGTACAGTATAACGTACAGAAAAGAGGTTATTGCCCTATACACTGCATACAAATGCACTGTTCTATCATTAGCAATCATAAAATGCAGATAAGTGAAGCACCCAACACTCATGTCAATGGAAATCTTTGTTTTGCCTTTTGATCTTCATAGTACCTGCATTGTAGTTGATACTCTTCTACTCCTGTATGGTGTAATAGACCATAAAATGTGTACAGTGGCATAACCTTGTTATGTAAAAAGGCGGTGGTTCATGTGCAGTGTCCAAGCATTCTTGAGTAATTGATTACATGCCTAAACAATGACTATTACTTTTGTTGTATTTGCATAGAAATAATAAACTTGCGCAGGAGGTGAAGACAGAGGAGCCTATTTATAAAGACTTTTGAAAATATTGCTTTTCTCATTGTACTTCTCCAATTTTGGAGAAAAAAATATCCAATTTTTTTTTTTCTGTCATTTTATAGATTTGATTAGGGTAGTTGCGATATCAAGATGTGTAAAAAAAAAAAAAAAAAAAAAAAAAAAAAAAAAAGGCAAACCACAGACAATTTGGCACAGAAAGAAAAAAGGTAGTAAGCAGAGCACCAAAATGGGGCAAATAAAAACAAAATACAGAATCTTGAGGAAAGATCCTCCTCAGACTTCCATTTTAAAATGAAAACATTCTGAAAAGTTAAGGATGGTTTAAAGACCACATCCAGCCTGAGTTCTATTTTGTTTCAAATAAAGTTGGGGAGGGTTAGAGCGTTTTTTATTGTCTGTGTCCCGGTTGAGGAGATATCTCACATGCTACCAGGATAAGAAGTGATGGAACATCTCTGTAGTACAGCAGGGAAAGGTAATAACTTCTGACAATGTTTTTATTGCTTCCCTGTTGCTTGTCCTGGTGTCAAAGGATCCAAAAGGCAGAGAACATCTTCCCAAATGGGGCTACAGACCTAAATAAAAGCCCTGCAGAAATCTTTCCCCAATTCTTTGAAAATTAAAAGCAATGGCTGCAGGAAGGTTGATCTCATATGGGGGCCATCTTGATGCTACCGACAAATCATATGCGTCAAGATCGCTAACAGACTACCTGCCAGTCTCCGTAGAATCAATGCTTCGCTAGCCAAGCCAGCAAGATGTACTTTTCTCGCTGTCCAGTCTCTATTGTGGGAGATTCGGCAGCATTTGGACCTCATGCAGACAGGAGGTTATGAAAACTCTCATAGAAGCTTTTCCTCCTGGCAGCAGCGTTTTTGCAGAAGAAAGTTTGAATGCTGTTACAAGCGTGTTTGCACATTTATAAGCATCAAGCTTTTGGGTGTAATTCATTTCATTGCCAGAATAATAATTTATTATGGCCATTGAAATTAAGTAAAGCTTAAGCTCTAGACGTGCTTAGTGTGTATACACGTATACAAGTGCCAAGCATTTTTTCTGCCAAAACGCTGATGATCCTGGATGCACTGGCAGTGTATTTTTTTTTTTTTTCTTGCCTCAACTCTCCTGCCACTAAATGCTGCTAAAAGTCTATATGTGCATGGATACATACCACAAAAAATAATTTGCGCTACTAAATAAAAATATATATCCGTGAATCAGAAAAAAAAAATATAAGTAATGCTTAAATAAGAAATGTTCAAATGAATAGTCCACACTTTGAAATATGTGACACAAAAAAACGTGCACAAAAATATATAAATGTGACCATACCACCACCAAAAATGCTGAATAAACTCACCAGAGCTATAAAACTAAAACATGTATTGCTCGGGAGCGGTAGTATTAATAGAGTGATAGGTCATTCATAGATGTATCTTCAGAGAATGATATTCTGCAGAACCCAGATCCACATAGACCAATTTCAGATGGAGCAAATGCTTTCAAATCAAATATCATCAAGGAAATCCACTTCTCCAAAACAGCCACCCTTAATCGTATCCAAGGAGGGAAATGCCAGACACTCGGAAGAAACAAAAGAATTGGCATGAATACATAGGCTAACATGGAGAGGAGAAAGCAGGAGAAGAAAAACACCTGATGCCCCAAAAGCAGCAGTAAAAACTTTCTGCATGCCTTAGGGTCAGCTAAGAAGCAACTCCACTGGGGTAGGTTGCTCTCCTGTTTGATTGAATCCTAAAGCTGGCCATAGAGGACTTTTTTTTTTTTTTGATCAGCCAGCAGGCTGAACAAAAAACAAATCCAGTTCCTCTATCCACATAAATGAGGTGGATGGAAGACACCTCCCCGCTAGAACATTGTATTCTGATAGCAGGACTCTCTGATTGTCTGTCTGCAGCCACTGATTAAGGACATTTTTCCAACACTCCTGTTCAACTGTCAACTTCTGTCGAACAGGGATGGCGACCCATGGATCAGTTTGGCCAGCTTCTGATGAATTTTTATCTATCTATGGTCAACTTTAGGCTTTATAGGGTATCTAAAGGTGTGCTCGCGTGTGTGTTTGTGTGTTTGTTTTAAACTGGAGACATACCAGAATTTGAAACAAGATCTCTCTAAGGTCCCTGCTTCCTTTTTCAATAATCAGAGATTCTAACCCTTCCACACCATTTCATTTCTAAAAAAAAGTTTGGCTCTAGATACACATTAAGATCCCTGGCGCATTTTTAGGAAAAAAAATGGCAGGAACACTAAATTGGTAAAATACATCTAAAACAAAGTGGGTATATCTGAAGTTAAGAAAAGTCTCCCTATTAATGACCAACTAGCTTTTATCATTTTAGAAAATAAAACAAGGAATTGGACTGGTCACTATCAGCACCAACTTGCTTTTGTTTCCAAATCTGTTTGTCAGGTATTTTCTAAATAGCCTCCATATATGTTTCTGGATTTTCAGTTTTGCCATATTCCAGAGCTGCTGTCCATGGTGATACGAGTCTCAATTTCTAGTATAGTATGTTAGTTGTTCTTCCTTCAGACTAGTCATCATAAGACCCATTATTGCCAAACAAAATGTAAAGAGTTATTGTTCCACTAATTAAAACATGCATGCATGTGATACTAACTAAAAGTTAGACAAACTATCTTTGTCTTGAAGGTATCATGAAGGAAAAGGAGAGAAAACTGGAAGATGAAATGGCCGGATCTCGTCCTCACTGTGCATTCTTAGGATCACTTCTGTGGGAGCGCACTTTGCCATACAATGAGATAGAATATGTTGACCTTGATGAGTTCCTGTTGGAAAATGGCCTGCCACCAAGCCCACCTCACCAGCCTTTCTCACCAGCTAACTTGACACCACCTCCATCTAACCAGTCAGTCGTTGACCTCAGCCGACCAGCATCCTGCGCCTCCTCTACCTCTGCTTGCTCATCTCCTGTGCAAAGTATGATTGGCAGTGAATTTGAACATCCAAGCAGCAAAGAAGGTACCTCATTTTGTAATGGCATAAAAACTAGTCTGTATTGTGTATATTTATTGAAGTGTATGTAAAGCCTAAACATTTAGTTTTGCAAAAGGAAGTGTGAAATCCAAACAGTTTGTTTGTCCTGTGGTCATTGTCTACGATACAAAAATGATGGGAAATCTAAAATTTTAACTTTGTCACAGAGCCAGGAGGTGAGGGGAAATCTTGCAATGGGATAACACCTGGTGGGGACAACTGTCTTTTAAGTCGGGTTTTTCCCCTCACACAAACATTTCCTCTATGCTCCTGCTGTGTCTCTGAAGACAAAGTGAGGGGGGGAAAACTCTCTGAAAGGACATACATAAAGAAAAAACTAAAGTAGAATAAAAAAGTGACAGCTTTTGACAATCTTAACTATTCCCTACTCTATCCAAAGCTAAAAAGAAAAGGTTTTGGCTTCACACGCACTTTAATAGGTATGTATGAAATAGAAAATATAAATTTGTCCTGTTGTTTTAGGTAGTTGGTAAACAGCATGAAGATTTTTTTTTTTTTTTTTTTTTTTTTTTTTTTAGCATATGCTAATATATTATTATTTAATCCAAAGGATGGTTAAAAAAAACTTCTTGTAAAGCTTGGTCCAATTTACTATAACATGGAAAAAATTCCTTCCGGACCTCTAATGGCAGTTGGTTAAATCCCTGGATCAGCTATCTACTGTGTATTTTTTAGAAATGTAGATAATCATTTCACTCTACTTTTGAATGGAACACAAAAAAGCTGGATTACTAGCTGCAAGGTATTAAGCTCTTTTGGATGCCTAAGCATTTTCTAGACCCCGGTATGGCTGTAAAGGGTCCTGCTCACTTGCTTCTTTTGGCTCAGATCTTTTGACTTGATTGGTAATAATTGATGCTTGAGAAACTGGGACCATGTATATGGATAGGCTTGACAAAGAGCCATTAAGGCTTGATATGTTGCCATGTTACTTTTGGAGGACTTTTAATCTTTTGTACTGCTGTGTTTTAACCAATAAGCAATACAAGAACTGTGTGCTAAATTTAAGTATGCAAGTCATTTGTGCAGATCAGCTTGCTGTGGAAAAAGATTGTAGCTTGGATAGTGTTAACAAGTTGGCGCCAAAGGCACGAGGCAATCACTAGATAAAGGTAGTGTACACAATTTTTCATTGGATCTATGGACTTGTATAGATGCTGTTGGGGTGAAAACTCTTTGCAAGTTTGACCTGCTTCAGATTTTGATTAGAGTACACTGCCTTCCATTGTATTTTTATTTGTGGGTGCTCCAGAATGTTCTTTGGCTTTTTCTAATGTGCTGTGTTAAATAAACCTTTTGGCATGAACGCTAAATTCTGGTTCTTCCTCTTCTTTACTCCAAAGTGTACAAATAGCTAAAAGTGTGCTACCAGTGTCCAGGCTGCTATGTAGTCTGTGGTATGTGCTCAGGAGTACTATGCCCTCCAGTTCTGGGATGCAATATAGTCTGTGGAACGCTGTCTGGGATTTATCTACTGCAGAGCTGGGGACGTTCACATATCAACCTGTGAGGATGAGATAAGGCACCTGTGCCATCCGTATAGATGTGCCTACTTCCTGCTTGCCTCTGGTAGCCACTAGGTGTTGACTGCCACCCTACCAGCCCAGTTGGCAGAAAGATAGTTATTCTTTCAATTACCTGGCAACCAGGAATTGTCCAGCCCTGAATTCTGTTTTGATGAACGGTAGTAAATAGTTTAAAAGCCTTTGCTGTTAATAAGGTATTATCAAGGAAAAAAGTAACAACATGTAGTTGATATTTAATTTTCTTTGAGTGATGTCTTCCTGTGCCGGCCAATCAATACGGCTGAAGACTAGTATCCAGAAGAAGCTGGGGAAAAGATGCCATTACCCGCGATAGATCTTGCAGACCTTTGGACTGTTGGAGCAGAGGTAAGTATCTCTGCCTATAGTTCCACTTTAATACAGACTTCTACTCAAATAATGCTCACATAAACTGTTAGATCCATGTATGGACAACTTTTATATAAGTTCAGGGACCGGTCGAACTTCGATCCATGTATGGCCACTGTGGTTGAACATAAGTCGGTCTATCAATTGACTTCAGTTCTCCCAACTGTCGGAATACAAAGACACAGTGGGGAAAATTCCCCCATTCATCTGGATGTGTGGATGGGGGAATGGTGTCTGGTGTTTTTTTTTTGTTTTTTTTCAACTTCTTGGTTGATTTGAAAAAAAAAAAAAGACTTATCTATGGCAAGCTAAAGGCTGCCACTGCTGAATTCTTCTGAAAATACTAGTTTCCTGCAGATTTGAAAGTCCAAGTGAGTTGGAACTCCTGATCGGAATACATTTTCCAGGTCAGTGCCTCTGACAGTATTGAAAGTAACGGATCGGGAGGACAGGCAGACACCGTTCAGGCTAACTTTCCTTTAATAATTCTAAATAAAAAGATCTGAGCACTATGCCAGTGCATGTTAATGTTTACTATTATATTGTTTTACACAGCGGCTCTCCGGTGTGCTTTAAAGCATAGTGACTGCATCTGTTGCTGTGGTCCTGATGACGTTCTGGTGGATGTCATTTTTATGGTGGCTCTTATATTACTGGTTCTCAACTCCCAGGGTTATTCTGATGGGGTTTCAGGTATTCTTGCGTCTTCTAATCTGTTTGTTATGAGTACAGATACACATAGAACAGCAACCAAGCTGACAGACTTGTCAACCTTAAGCAGGAAGTGTGGTTCCTGGCAAGATCTTCAGGCAATTATCTTACTGGGGGCTAAAATGACTATCTCTAAATCCTGGAAGCAACCTACTGTGTCTTTGGCCCAAGCAAATAAAAAGTCACCTGAATTATGTTGCTTTAGAATATTGTCAGTGTTTTACATGTGAAAAACTGTGAAAAGACCTGGGAACCGTGGGTAAACTATATGCATGTCTTATTTGTAACTTAATGCATTTTCCATGACTATGTGGTATGAGTGTTTCCTTTTTAGTCTCTGACCAGATCTCTGCTTCTTTCCTCCTTTTCTCCTTTTTTTTTTTTTTCCACCTCCTTCTTTTCTATGTCTCTCAGTCCTTCCTGGCACACTGGATCTTTTAAATGTGATTTAGACTGGCTCTTGCTGGATGTATGGTCTGATACTTGCTATGGGTAGCAGGTTTATTGGATGTTTCGAGGTAGATTGGCTCAGCATCCCAGAATACCTTCATACTGCATTCTGTTATTTTTGACTTTGTAGACTGGGAGCTGTTACCCTTTTCCCCATTTTTCATTTTTTTTGTATTTTTGATATAGGTGATTAATGGCCTTTTGTACTATTTTTTACTTTGTGTTTAAACAAAATCAATAACAATATTGAAAGAGAAGATATCCAGGAAAGAGAGGATGGGAGGAGGATGACAGCAGAGGGAGCTTTTTAACTATGAACTTATAGAATTGAGAGCAGGGTTGCCAACTGTCTATCTTTATGGAGTGTCAGTGAAAATGAGCCTATTTTCTCTTGTCTGTGAATGTCCAAGAACAGAGGAAGGCATCTGGAAAATGATCAGCATCCAGCAGATGCATATAGACTGGAGCCAGTTATACATTGTGCAATATATATTCCTGGCTAAGTTCTTCTTTAAGGCAGGCTGCGGCTATGGGAATATGTTAAATGTTCCACCCTAAAAACAGGTGGAACATGTAACATGTTCCAAAGGTGAACTTATCCTTTAAGCACACTTGTGGGGAACTCAAAAAAATAGATCTGTCATAGAAACACGTGTTACCCAAGGAGGTCATTCACCTCTATGGCCTGCGTTTTAAAACCTGAGGCATGTCCTCTTTTCAGTGCATTTTCATGCTCTGAGGCTAAGGTGTCTAGGACAACACAAGAAAAAGTGCCTGTATAATGCGTTCGTTAAAGCTGCGTTCCGGCCCCCACCACCTCCCAAAGAAATACAAAGTCAACAGCTACAAATACTATGGCTGCTGACTTTTAATAATAGGGTGCTTACCTGTTCAGGCATCCAGAGGTGTCCTAGCCCCAAGCCGCTTCTTCAATCGGCTGTCAGGTGCTGGTGCCGCCATCTTGACTAAGGGAAACCGGCAGTGAAGCCTTGCGGTTTTGCTAGTTTCCCACTTTTGAAATAAGGCTGAAGTCCACTGGGACCTTGGAAGTGTCCCAGAGTGCTGCGGGGATACTCATTTCATGGATACCTGCTCCCCCCTCCCTCCCCCCTAAAAGGTGCCAAATGTGGCAGTAGAGGAGGGCAGAAAAGTGAAGATTCCACTTTTGGGTGGAATTCCACTTTAATGTGTTGCCAGCCTCTATAAGTACTGTAGATCTCTCCAAAGACCAAAAAAATGATGTCATTGCAGGAATTCAGTCCTCACTGGCCAAACCAAAAAGACATGACACGTGGAAATGTGTATTAAAACTCATTGCACCACAATGCATAATAAAAATGTATGTCAACATTTTACAATGCATGTTAAAAAATGGACAAAAAACATAAATATAAAGAGTCACATTTTTATAAAAACTGATCATTTGTCTTGATGTTTGTTAGACTGTCACTTGTGGTACAGTACTTACCGCGTTTTTGTGGGTACAAGGACTGTGGCCTATGTATGCAGAGTATATGACAAGCAGACTCATCCTTTGGGTTTCCAGATATAAAAAGGCCATTTCCTTTTATAGTGGAATTTGTAACCTTCACATTCTGTTTACTATGCATCAGTATGGATTTAGTATGTTATATTCGTTCCTGCGCTATTTCAGGTTGTCTGTTTAAAAAAAACCAAAAGGAATTTTTTCAAAAGTTTTGTTAGCAAATATTTGTTGAGGTGTTTGGATCCCTGTTCGGGGGGTATATCCTGCCCCCCCTCCAATCCTGTGTTTTGTTTTTTTTTTGTTTTTTTTTGTTTTTACAGATTTACCATTGAATGTATTA